GAAAATATTTTTGGTCTTTTCTAGGAACAAGACTAACACTTGGAAGTCTAAGTGTACAAATTGCACTATCAAGGGAGGTGAGCTACTAAGAGCCACTTAATAACCAAGCCTTTTCAAGTGGAAATCACTAAACTTCCTTATGGTATTCTCAATTCCACAAAATTTTTCACAAAATTTTTAATGATGGATGATTTTCACAAATGTTTTTTATTACAACTAGACGTGAACAATTTAAATTCTACACATGCTAGTCGAATTAATAAAGCAAAGTAAACAAACTAAGAACAAACAAATCAAAGGAAACAATATTAATCAACTAGTCGGATTTTCCCTAAGTGGAAGCTTGAAACATATGAAATTTCCAAGCCACTTCCACTAGTACTACACGTGAGTGATTACAAGGGATTAGATATACTTGACTAGCTTCTTAATACTCCCTCCAAGATATTACAAATTGATTGAATTTACAAGAAAAATGCAAGAAATTAAACTAGTCCTAAAAACAAAGTTGTGACGGTTTTGTGACCACTTTAGTGACGGATTTTCAGCCCCATTTTTTTCATCACTTGTTTGAATGCTTTAATCCACCTCCAACCTTGGTCCTTTGATGCTCCTTGAACCTGCACAGTGAACACAACAAATAGGTGAAAGAAGGCTGCTCACAAGATGAAAGGATTGATCACTCTTGTGAAGGTAGTTTTAGGAGTTTTAGGTCACCAAATTTAGGTCAAATTTTAAGGTCCTTGTTTCAAAACTCCTTTCCTATTCTTGTTGAGTCAATGTTTGGTTCTTAAGCAAGAATTTGAAGCCACTTCCAGCACATAATTTTGTTCAAGGAAAACTTAGACAAGCAACAAAAGCACAATTTAGAAAGCTTATACCAAAATTGAAGAATTAAGTGTTTAAGACAAGACTCAAAGAAAGCCAAGGAATCAAAGAAAATTAAGACTCAAAACATGCTAGCACTCAATTAGGAAAGTCTTAGATTGGCACTAGAGTAGATTCAGAAAACAAAAATTAAAAGGAAGAAAATATTAAGAAAAGAACCAATCAAATTAGCAAACCGGATTCAATATAGTGGCAACATTGAATGTTCATTGATCTTTCTTGGCTTTTATATTTTTTTTTATATTTCTTTGCAATGTTTTCTTTTTATTCAAAGAAGGTCTTACTGCATTTTTCCAGCAATATGTCCCAGCCACACTAATTGAGAAAAAAAATGAATCCGAATTACTAAAACAATTTTCAGCTACAGATAGTTCAAAATTTATAAGGAGTTTGATGCATTTTCTTTGCAATCACTTGCTTGTTTTCAATCCAAAGTCACTTGCTCATATATTTTTTTTCAATTTAATTCTGTTTTTCCCCTGTTTTACAAGCAAACTTCCAGATTCATAAATGCTAAATTCATGCACCAAAATTGAACTAGTCTACTAACCAAAAATCTAGTAAAAATGATCACAAAATTTTTTTTATAGGAAATTTTCTTGGAATCAAATTCAAACAAACAAATGTGACACAATGGAATCCTAACTCTAAGAATCCACCAATGAACTAATGATGGACATGAACTGAAAGTGATAAAATGAAAAGCACATAAGCAAAGGTTCACAAAAATGATTGCTCTCGGCCAAAGCAAGGAACAAGCTCTAAAGCAAAATTGAAAAAAATTGGTTAAACTAAGCACATCTTGAATTTA